CTTCGAAAAAGATTTTCTCCACATGAATACCTTTAGGCGGTTCCCTCAAGGGGTATCCCAACTGTCGGCGAGCTAAGACTGGATTGTAGCTAATTCCTCCATTGAAACTGAGCAAAGGCACATTGTTGAAGTTTCCACAACTATCAATGATCGATATCCCATCGTACATGCGATTATACCAATCAATATCAGAGTGAGTTAAAGCCATAACTTTTTGCGACCAACATTCTTGATTAGGTTTCCAGAACGGACCGGACTTGGGTAAGTGAGAAATAAACCACTTGTATAGTAACGGCACACAACATGTAATCATTCCTCCACCATGAAAGTTTCGAAGATGTACTGAATGATAAGTATTACCCAATAGTGTTGGAACTGGATTTCTTCTCATGAAGGTCTTGATTACATTAAGGTCCACAAACCCCTCAAAACTAGGAAAAAGCAGCAACCCATAAATAAGCAAAGCAAATATTGTCTCAAAGGCAAACATGTCTTTATGATCGGCATAAAATTGGGCCTTCTTAATTAGGAAGTCCCTGAGAAAACCGGAGGTCCCCCCTTTGGTGATCATATTGTTTTTGACATCGGATATCTTTAGACAAGTGGCTTTAGCAATATCTCGTTCTTTAGGGTCTTCCTCCAAGAAAGGGAATGGAGACTTATCCAAGATAGGTAATCCCACCAACTGAGAGTACTCTTCTAAGGTAGGTAAAAGCTGATAATCTGGAAAGGTGAAGCAGTGATAATCTGGATCATAAAACTGTAGCAAAGTCGCAAGAAGTCCTTCGTTTACTTGAACCTTCAACAAAGACAATAGTCTTCCATATCTGTTTTGGAACTTTTCTTGATCTTGAACCAAATCTCTTAGCTTCTCTAGGACTTCCAAATTAAAACCCTTAAAAGTAAATTTCAAAGTATGCTTCCTAGAGTGATCCATGGTATCCTGCAATGTTCATAAATAGAGTTTGAATTCCATGAAGTCTTAATGTAATATGATGCTTTATGGATGCAATGCATGAAAACACACAAAGTCCTAGGTTAAAGGAGCGTGAGCGGAGTTAAGGTCTACCCATCCCAGAAAGGAGTGTACTATAGGTTAGTTGTACCTGCAGAACAAGGTTCTAAAAAGTGCCCAAAGTCATCAGCCCATCTTTCGGATATTATCAACCTTCCGACTGACTCGGGGGTTAATAATATTCTCAAGAGAATCTCTTTTGAGTGTAGTATCGCGTAGCAACCATTGTAGGACTACTCCCACATAGCTCCCGCACTACGTCCTAAATAAGGCCAAGGTGGTGTTAAGGTACTACGGTCCTCAATATCACAGACTCCAATCGACCATGGAAAAAGTTTTCACGATTACTCGTTCAACCGAACCATTTTCGAAAAGGTCTCAACTGAGCGGTGATTCTCGAATCAGCTTGGTCAGGATTCAACTCCCTATAAGCTTCATCGAATATATCCCCATCCTATAATAATGTCACTAGTCCGGGCGTAGGACTTATCTCACAACTCAAGGAACAGTCCCAAAATCAAAGTACAATATATACATGCAAATGAATAGTAAAACAAATAGTAAAAAATATGAACAAATTAGGGATAACCCTCAAAAGTTTAGAATATTCCCCAGTGAAGTCGCCATTTTCTGTTGCGGTGGAAATAGGATCACAAACTATTAATTAATTTGAATCGCAATTCAATTCACAACCGCTCTTTGATTTATCCGAAGGAAAAGGTCAAAAGAGGGAAAACCTATTTTGCATCGTAAACACAATGCGGGGAAAGATCTCGGGTTCGGGGGTTGGTTAAATTTAGGGAAGGTATTAGCACCCTAAACTTCTGTAGTATTCTACAAGAACCTTTTGTTCAAATGTTTACTATTTGCTTTATTTATTTGCTTAAGATATATGTACAAAGGATTAAAAGTGAGAAAAGAGACCTAAGGGGTTAATTCTAAGTTTACTCGGCAAGACATCGCATCTTGTGCCTACGTATCCTTACGGGAGTGGAATCAGAGTAATCGTAGTTCCCCTCAAAAGGGAGGTTAGAGACTTCTTGACTGTGGTCAAGGTCTCAAGGGGAATAAACGCATCTTAAGGACACGCTTACGTGGAGTGTAGAAACTCCAAATCTCTACGTTGAAGTGTTAAGTTGTATTAGGGTTAGGTTAGGGATGCCACGGCGGGAAACCCTAAAATGAGCGCGGCGGCTCTTTGACCTAATGCTAGGGATAAAATTGTAAATTAGCCTACGGCGAGGCATTTGTGAAAATTAGGGTTTGTAAGGGTGTAATTTTGAATGTGTGAGGGTTTATGGACTATTGGCGCGGCGGCCAAACGGTTAGACCTAACCTTCGGATGTGAAATTAACTATAAAGATGCGATGAAATTAAATATACATACAACGATAGAAAATAAAGTGCGGAAAGATAAATGCGACAATTGTCTCGCAAAATTACATCCCATAAGCAGTTACAAATATGATAATTGAACATTTAAACTGAAAATAAAATCAATTGAACTTAGTCAGCTGCAAAAAACTAAAACAAACAGAGACTGTTATTATACGGGGTTAGACGAAAAATTAGACGGGAATGTTAGGAATTTAAGTAGAAAATTATAATTTTAACGAAACAAGAAAAAAGTTAGAAATTTGGATCTTAAAAATGAGGATGTTAGCGAAAAATTAATAAACAATGAAAATTGATATGCAAAGAAGATGGCGATAATATACAAGTGATAATGGAATATGAAATAGCAACGATGATGTTAGATTATGTACAAATGTAAAAATAAATACAAAAATAAATAAATAAATATTAGTGAACAGGTTCATGGATAATCAAGAATACTGTTAGGAATGAAGGATGAAAATTGGAGTTGACGATAATTAAAAGTTAAGTGATGAACGTTTTGAGACGATGAGAATTTAGGTAATAAGAAAAGAGTTAGAATGGAATTAGGTTTTTTTTGTGTGAGATTTGGAAAAGTTAGAGTTTTTAACGTGATTAAGAAATTAGAATTAAAAGTTAGCAAAAAATTAGAACTTTGAAATTTGCTTTTGAAAAAAAAGTTTTGAAAATAAAAAAGAAATGGTTAGATTTTAATTCAAGAAAAAGTTAAAACTCTTGAAAAAAAACAAAAATAAGATTAGAAATTTTTTAAGAAAAGAAGAGTTAGTTACTTTTGATAAAGACCGTAAGAGTCTTTGATGCTTGCCGATCTCCCGTTTTGTTGCTCCTGAGGGTCCTTTTATACTTGATTTTTTAAAATGTTTTTCAATCTCAGATTTAATTTGAATATCTTAATCTTTTTCAATCTCTGATTTGATTTGAATGAATTTTTATGATTATTTCAGATTTGATTCAATGATGGTGATGTTGATATTTATATCTGATTTTCTTATGATGATGATATGATCTGATTGATTTTATTTTGCCTCATCTGTGATTTATTGTGATTGGATTTGATAAAAAAAGTGTTGGGATTTAAATTTAAAAATGTTAGCAAAGAAAGTTAGAGTTTCAAGTTAAATAAAAAATTAGAGTTTTAAGTTTAAAAAAAATGAGTTAGAATTTTAAAATAAAAAACATTTGAATGTTGATTTAAATAAAGTGTTAGAATTATTTTAAAAACTGTTGGAATTTCATTTTAAAAGGAATTTAGAATTAAAAAAAAAAAAGGGCGTTAGAATTTAATTTTAAAAAGAACTTAAAATTTTAATTTGAAAAAGAAAGGTGTCAAAAAAAATTTAGATTTAATTTTAAAAAAAGTTAGAAAAAAAAATAATTTTAAAAAGAAGTTAGAGAAAAAAGATTTAATTTTTAAAAAGAAGTTAGAGAAAAAAGATTTAATTTTTAAAAAGAGTTAGAAAAAAAGATTTAACTTTAAAAAAGTTAGAAAAAAAAGATTTAACTTTAAAAAGGAGTTAGAAAAAAGATTTAACTTTAAAAAAGTAGTTAGAAAAAGGATTTAACTTTTAAAAAAGTTAGAAAAAAGATTTAATTTTTTAAAAAAATTTAGAAAAAAAGATTTAACTTTTAAAAAGTTAGCAAAATATTTAACTTTAAAAAAGAGTTAGAAAAAAGATTTATCTTTTAAAAAAAGTTAGAAAAAAGATTTAATTTTAAAAAGGTAATAGAATTTGATTAAAAAATGTGTTAGAAATTAATTAAAAAAGGTTATAAAAATTTACTCTTGAACAAAAGAAGAAAAAAAAGTTAAATTTTAATCTAAATCGTAAAAGTTAGTAAGAAGAACTTAAAATGATTTAAATAAATAAATTAAATAGAAAAAAAGTTAATAAACAAACATTAATAAAATTATAAAAAAGGTTAATTAAATTATTATTAGTTAAAAAAACAAGATCTAAAAAAAGGTTAATTTATTAAGTTAATAAAAATTTAAAATAAAAATAAAAAAGAAAGGATAAAATTTGATGCTATTAGCTTACTACTATTTTTAATTATGTAACATTTCCCTTGAAATTATTGAAACTTTAATGTTTTTTCCTCTTTTTCGTAATCTAACCATTTTTTTCTCCACTGAATGCATAGATACAAATAATGCCGCATACGAGGTAATCAAACATAACATGTGACTTCAAAAAACAACAAAACCAACTCATATGATTCAACATTGACATATCTTCCAAATTCATTTAGCTCTACAAGACACATCCGTGAAACTGAAACCATGACACGCCAAACTATACTCCCTTACTCAGTTGTTAAATTTTGTCAGAATATTAGGTTTTTTTAACCGGCCAACCCATATAGAAAGTTTTACAGTTTTGGTTAAATATCTTTTCATTTTATAATCTCACAAGTATTCCATATATATATATATATATATATATATATATATATATATATATATATATATATATATATATATATATATATATATATATATATATATATATATATATATATATATATATATATATATATATATATATATATATACCCACATCCCTATGAGAGTGTAATATCAGAAAACATGTCACTCCTTGTTATTTTCCCTTTTGCTCTCTTCCTATTCTCCTTCTTCTTGTTCAAAAAACACAAAACATCATCTGAAAAACCAACACTTCCACCAGGTCCTAAAGGCCTTCCGTTCATAGGAAACTTACACCAACTTGATAGTTCATCTCTTGGTGTAAACTTCTACGAACTCTCAAAGAAATATGGCTCTTTAATCTTCCTTAAACTTGGTTCAAGACCAACACTTGTTGTTTCATCTGCTAAAATGGCGAAACAAGTAATGAAAACACACGACATCGAGTTTTGTAACCGACCCTCTTTAATCAGCCATATGAAGCTCTCTTATAATGGACTAGATCAAGTGTTTGCACCCTATAGAGAATATTGGAGACACACCAAAAAACTTTCCTTCATACAGTTTCTTAGTGTCAAAAGAGTAGCAATGTATTATTCGGTTCGAAAATATGAAGTGAGGCAAATGATGAAGATGATAACAGAACAATATGTGCCCTCTAACAAACCTGTCAACCTGCATGATCTTCTTGCGTGTCGTACAAGCGCGATCGTTTGTAGGACAGCGTTTGGGAGGAGGTTTGAAGACGAAGGAACTGAGCATAGCATGTTTCATGATTTGCTTAAAGAAATGCAGGAAATGACGATTTCGTTCTTTTATACGGATTATTTGCCTTTTCTTGGAGGATTTGTTGATAAGTTTACCGGAATGATGGGTCGTCTTGAGAAAATATTCCAGCTTTTGGATGGATTTTTTCAGACTGTCGTCGATGAACATCTTGATCCCGAAAGGAAGAAGTTGCAACCACACGAAGAGGATGTCATTGATGCTTTGATTGATTTGAAGAATGACCCTTACTGCTCAATGGATCTCAAATCTGAACACATCAAACCCTTGATCATGGTTAATAGTCTTATTTTTCTTCACTCTAATTTTCGTTAATATTTTAAATGTAACACTGTAAAAATCCTTTTTTTTTTTAAGTTGAAATAGACCATTTCATTTTTTTTTATATTGCAGAATATGTTGTTCGCGGGGACGGACACGATTTCGTCCGTGGTAGTTTGGGCGATGACGGCGCTAATGAAGAATCCAAGAGTGATGAAGAAAGTACAAGAAGAGATTCGAAAAGTATTTGGCGAGAAGGGTTTTATAGAGGAAGAAGATGTTCAAAAGCTTCCATATCTGAAAGCAGTTATAAAAGAAACAATGAGATTGTACCCATCTTTGCCGATACTTTTACCTCGAGAAACCATGAAAGAGTGTGAAATTGAAGGGTACAGAATTCCGAACAAGACATTAGTGTTCGTGAACGCGTGGGCGATTCATAGAGATCCGGAAGCATGGAAGAATCCAGAAGAGTTTTATCCCGAGAGATTTATAGGAAGTGATATAGATTTCAAAGGACAAGATTTCGATCTGATTCCGTTTGGTTCGGGGCGAAGAGTTTGCCCCGGGTTAAACATGGCGGTTGCTACTGTGGATCTTTTACTTGCTAATCTTTTATATTTGTTTGATTGGGAAATGCCGGAAGGTCTAAAGAGGGAAGATATAGATTTTGATGGTCTTCCAGGACTTGTTCAACACAAGAAACATCCTCTGTGCCTTGTTGCTAAGACTAGAATTGCATGTGTGTGATGTAAAATGTTGCATGTTATGTTATATTTATGCTAAGAAAATAAAACATGCATGTTCATATAGAAATAAAAATCATCTTTCTATGTTGATTTCCTTTAGGGTTCAAGAAAATGTTGCATTTTATGTTATATTTATGCTAAGAAAATAAAACATGCATGTTCATAGAAATAAAAATCATCTTTCTATGTTGATTTCCTTTAGGGTTCAAGAAAAATTGTGTAGAACATTAATGTTTTATTCAATGGATGGTGTTTTGATCCTGAATGTTTTTTTTTCTGATGTAATAAGTCGCAGATTCGAAGCCGCGGTTTTGCATTCGGATATTTTCTTTAAGAACTAAAATTGAGCTGGCGGACTTTTATCTTTTAGATTCTACTAAATTTTAGGTCCCAAAAATATTCTTGTCACAGACTTCAATGACTACTAAATATTTGTATTGTAAAATCCAAAAATATTTAGTGAGGGTAAAATCGGCAAATAAAGGATTTTGAGTGTTTTTAGAATATAAGATGAGTTGGATTAGATGTTTTCAGCAATGAAAGCGAAAGGATAAAGGTCAATAATGGGGGGACAAAATGTGCCCCATTTATCTTTCTTTTCATCTTTATCTTAATTATTATGACTAAGTAGAATTGAATATATTTTGACATCTCACTTTCAATATCATTTTTCATTTGACAAGGGATGATAATTTCCATTATCTTTAAGTAAGATGATTAAGGATGGATGCCGAATGAAAAAGACAAAAAGAAGGAAATCAAAGACAACACATGCTTACATCATGGAATTAAGGAAGGGTAAGAGAATAATTTCAAACAGAAAATATTATTTTTGTTAATACAAATGGAGGTATTTTACTTCCGACTAGTGTGTAGCGTTGAAAATGAATCAAATTGAATTTGTTTTAAGTCGACTTGTTAAAAATTGATTTAATTTAAATTTCAATTCAATATACAAATTTTTTTTAAGTTCAAATTCGATTTGATATAAATTTACAAATAATTTGGTTTAATTTTGTGGTATTTTGGATCAAACTCTATTGTCGACAAGAGTAGTTTCATGATTCGACATAAAGTTTAGTATGAAGTCGAAGTTTGTTCACATACTGATCAAGCATGCAGTAGTCGAAATGCTAGAATTGTTAGCATGTCGAATTATTAAGTTAGCTTGTAATCTATATTAGCTTAGTAGTCTATAAATAGACTAGTTCTCTCAGGTTGTTGGGAGAGGTTAATTGTTGGTATTTGTCGCGTATTCACTTGTAATCTTTGAACCCTTATTGAGAAAATGAATAGTAAAATATATTTAACCAATTCTTTATTCTTCTTCTCTTTTCCTTTGTGAAACCTAATAGGGTTTCTTGTATTTGTTCAAGAAATTCAATCTTTATCTCATAACTTTGTTCTGTTATTGATGACATCAATTCACAACAAACTAGTGTGGTGAGCGTGGAGGAGAAGATGTCATCAACAAAGTATGAGATTGAGAAATTCACCGGTGTGAAAAGTTTGCAGTGTCATTGTACTGAGCCTTGGTGATAAGGTTCTCCGGCATGTTTCAAAGGAACTGCAGTGGGTGTATGGACGAAATTTGAAGGTTTGTATATGAAAAAAGCGTTGATTAATCGTCTCAACCTGAAGCAAGCTTTGTATTCATTCAAGATGAGTGAAGACAAAGTCTTGGCTGAGAAACTGGATATGTTCAACAACTTAATTTTTGATCTTGAAAATATCGAGGTCAAGATTGATGATGAAGATCAAGTGTTGTTATTGTTGTGCTTTTTACCTAAGTCAAATGCTCACTTCAAAGAAACTCTCTGGTATGGAAGAGATTCATTGACCTTTGAAGATGTTCAATCTACCTTGTACTCTAAGGATTTGAACGAACGAAAGTAGCATAAGCCATCTTCTGTTGGTGAAGGTTTTCGTTAAGAGGAAATTCTTGAAGAAAGATGGTAGGTTTGAGAAGAGGATGGGTAAAGTTTTAGATAATTCTTATGATGATAATGTTCCTACTATTAAGTGTTATCATTGTAAGAATGAGGGTCATACAAGAAAAGTATCTCTGATCGACCGAAAAATCATGGTGGAAAGGATAATGGCAATGTTGCCCTTGTGCAAGATGGTTATAAATCATCTGATGTCACGGTGGTTTCAAGCAGCGACTCTAGCAAGGAGAGGATCATGGATTTTGGGTGTACTTGGCACATGACTCCAAACAAAGACGTGTTTGAGGAATTGTGTGATCAATATGGTGAATCAGTTTTGTGGGAAACAACAAAGCTTGTAAAATTACAGGTATTGAATCTGTGAGATTTAAGCTTCATGATGAATCAATAAGGCTATTGACTGATGTTAGGTATGTTGATCTTTAGAGGAATTTGATTTCTCTTGGTGAATTCGACAAGAAATGATATGTTTTCAAAGGAGAGCAAAACATCCTAAGGGTAATGAAGGGGTAGAAGGAAATCTTGAGAGGCGTGAAGAAACAAGGCTTGTATACCCTTGAGGCTGAGGTTGTAATTGGTTCAGTAGATGTAGCATCCATGAAACCTGTGTCGAAGACTGGGCTATGGCACAAGAGACTTGGCCATGTCATTGAAAGAGACCTTGTATCACTACTGTGAAAAAGAGGTCGGCAAAGACAGAAGAGTCGCCATTGTTTGTTATTTATCCCAAAAGAGGGAAAGGAAACGATCAGAGAAAACCTAATGAAAAAGGGAAAAGACGAGGTCATCACAACCAAGTCCTAGGTTGGGGAGTCGGTTACGCAAGGGGAAGGTATTAACACCCCTTACGTATGTCATACTCGACGGGATCCACGCTTTGTTGTCTATCTAAAAGGGTGTTTGAAACTATCTAAGCTACGGCTCAAGGATAAAAGAAAATAAAAGAGAGACTCGATAGAGCATCGCCACTCTATGCCTACGTATTCCCTCGTGCAATGGGATAGTCAGAGTTAACGTAGTTCGGAAAACTACGGGTGAAAGGTGGGGGAAGGCTGATCGCCAAGACATCGTCGTCTTGTGCCTACGTATCCTCGTCTGGTACGAGAAATCAGAGCAAACGTAGTTCGGGAAGACACGACCACAGGTTGGTTCAAAATGTTTTATCCGAGTAGGGTTAAAACTTAGTTCTAGCAGTTAGGTGTATGCAGCTCGACCATTGGAGACTTAGGCGTTACCTATTTGCGGTAGAACCAAGAGTTAACGAAACTCTCCTTATGAAAAAGGTTTTCCAAATTAAGATCCAGAAGGAAAAAAAAAGGTTTGAATTTTATTTTTGAAGTCTTTTAGAGAAGAAGTGAATTGAATTGTTTGTAATTCAGGTTGCACTAAACACTATGACTTAGGAGCGAATGTGTCGCATATCGTCCAATGGACATACGCTACCACTCTAAACAATTGAGAGGAAGCCACCCAATCATCATTTCCCAAGTACTTAAGGCTCGTAGCGTACAACATTTGTTATCCTTTATTATGTGTTTTGAAGGTGTTTTGAGATGAGATGAGAAAGACACTTTAAATGGAGACTAAGACTCAACCTAAATTTTCTCATACAAAGTGTACCTATGATTGAGGTAAAGGGGAATACTACCTAATGTTATCATGCTTGGGTCCAAGCCTAAGGTCTATCATAATCAACCTTGAACAAGTAAGATTATAGGTCCTAAGGGAACATGGCAAAGAAGAAAGAAGAAGGAAGCAAAAAGAAAATGCAAGTATGCAAACATGTAATGCACAATTAGAATGAAAGTGGGGGAGGAACAAAGTGTGGGGAAGTAGCCTCCACAAGCACATTTCAACCTCAAGCATGCATATGAGAAATGCAAATAAGAAGAGAGAAAGAAAGCACACAAATGCAATCAAACAAGTGCACAAAAGTGGGATGAAATGGGAGAAAGAATCCTACAACCATTACCATCAACCACAATGCCCAAAGGCAAGCCAAATGAAAAGAGATGAGAACACAAAGCAAAGTGAGGATGGGAGATGAGATGAGAATAGCAAGGAACTCATATAGGTCACTCAACCATAAGCATCACCAAAATCATGCCAAAGAAGCACAAAGAAGTCCTCAAAGGTTCACCATTCATGACATGCTTCAAGTACCTCCAAAGGCGGGAGTAAACCATCACAAATAGGATCCAAAGGTCATTGGACATAAGTAGAGATGAGAGGAGAAGGTGCACAAACCAAATAAGTAAAGACACAAAAGAGAATGCAAGGATAGGCATGGAGAAATACTTAGGTCTTAAGCACATTCAACACTTGAACTTCAAGTGGAAAGCCTAAAAAGAAATGCAAATCTCAATAAGCAATGAACAAGTTTATGACCTATAAATGAGTATGAAGCCACCTCAACATGTTGACAATATGAACCAAGAATAGTTGAGAGCTCAATGAATCCACAAAGGTCATTTCCAAATCAAACTAGGTCAAGTACTTGTATGAACCTCCCTTAGAAGTAACTTGACTTGCAAGTTACCTTAAAAATAGGAAAAAAATTCAAAAATAACCAAATAAAATCTCAAAATGTAGGAAACCAGAGGCCAAAAGCTCAAAAGCAATGTTCCATCAAAGCATCACCAAAAGAAATAAATCCCTAAGGTGCACCACTTTGAAATGGAATAATCGAGGGTCAAACAAAATGACTTAAAAGTAAAACCAAAATGAACTAAATCAGGGCCAAAATCATCCTATAAAACCCTTCATCCCATCACTCAAATGAAAAAAAAATTTAATCATTGGAGAAAAGGATTGGTCCACAAACTAGGCAAGAACAATCAAGAACAATTAAAATTCAATTAGAAAACAACTCCAAATGATAAATCCCATTTTAATTTAAAAATAAATCAAAAATGAAAATAAAAAATTCCAAAAATTAAATGACATCTCAAAATGTTCTAAAAATATTTTTGTGGGATTTTACCATATTTGAAACTATTTTTAAAAAATTAAAATGAAAAAAGAATAAAACAAAAATAAATAAAAACAAAAT